TACTCGTAACTGCGTTAACATGAATATAATATAAAAGCTAAACGGCTGCAGTACAACGATTTTCATCCGTCCTCATCTTGAGAACAAAAACGAATCTCTTCTTCATGTACTTTCATTCGAAATGAAGGTCCCCCTAACAATGTTATCTCAGGAGATTCATCGAAACCAAGTTTGTCTTCGTAGCTATAATGTAAAGTTGTCATGGACATTTTTTTCGGTACAAGTGATACTCTGTATCTGGCCCCTTGTGTCCCGTGGTACCCAAACTATGCAGAGTATTGGATGAAATCAGCGAGCCTAATGATGTGATCGTAAGAGGGCTGAGCCAAGCAGTTAAGAAAGCAAGTGATCTGAAGCAAAACTGAATAAAGCAAGGGAAGCAGAAGATAATGTCTCTGGCCAACAGAATGGATAGTACTCTCGGGAACTGAGTTACTACTTTTGCTCCTGTCTGTTTGTGTGTGTGTGCGTGTTTGTACAGATGTGTTAGCTTCTATATGCAATACCGGTTTAGGGCAGGTTTTGCATATATACGTTAATACACACACACACATAAGCAAAAGTAGCATTACCAATATAAAAGATAATTAGCCAAACCCTCCTATATCTATCTATGACCATACAGTTTCGTTTTTTAGTTATGATTATATATAAAAGGTAAGATAGAGCCGGACAGTCTTCTGGACCTAACATTAACGTGAGACTTTTACAGGAATGAGTTCCAGCTCTGATGATGTTCAGCATATGATGGGCGAAATTTCAGTCCGTTTTCACCCGGAACGAGAAAGGATGTCTCGTGAACATCGTATTAAAACCAAACGGTTGTAATACAACGGGAATCAGCCGTCCTCTTCTGGTGAGAACAACCTGCGAATCTCTTCTTCATGCATTTTCATACGTAGTGAACAATGTTATCTCGGAAGATTCACCAAAACCCAATTACTTTTCCTATCTGCAAAGATGTTTTCTTGTTCCATAAGAAACGAAAATTCAGCACTGATTCATCGGGATTGCAGGGCTTCGCCAAACAACCCTAACCGTTCGCCATTTCAAGACAGTCTTTCTTCAGTTTCCGGTGAGGCCGATTCTCGAATCCTTCCAACCAACTACTCCTTCAGAACAAAAAGTCAAGTCATCGTATTTCCACTTAATTTTAAAACCTTCGCGCAAATGATGACCTTTCTTGCTTTGTTATGGCATGTCTTTTCATTTTGAATGAAAATTTGGTTGGAATGAATTTGAGAATTAGTCCAACCGATGTCTTCCTGACACAATCCAACAGTCTTCCTCCTCTTTTTGATGAGACAAATTCACAAATTCCCTCTATCCAACTTTTCTTTATAAATTAAAAACCATGTCATTATTACTCATGATCACTGTGACTGCACTAGTGGACCTCCGTCTACTTTACCCGTACTATGTACCCGAGATTCACGGGTCTCCATTCATTCTTGCCCCCAGTACACGGATTGGAGTAGACTCTGTACGGTCACTTCGTTGTCAACACGATTTCTGTCTCTAACTTCCCTTTCCCGGTCTATGCAGTTCCCGCAGAAAGCATGCTTTCCACCCCCATGTCAATAAGGTATCTTGATAGAAATTCTAGCCAAGATGAGAGCGAAGAAAGAGATTATATTGGCGCTGCGAAGAGATAGGGCGTGGACCTGCAAATTCGATTGCATCACTGAGACATGAAGCTAAAAGGTTGCGAGTATACGTGGCGAGCCGACAGGGGGGCCGAACTGCGCTTTGGGACATTGAATGTGAACGGGACAAAATGATCTCTGTCCGTCTTAAAGGGATCATAATGCATGGCGAATTCGAATAGGCTCGGTGTGTGCGAACCACTGGTTGATTGGGACCCCAAGCGTAGGCAAAGGTCTGGATGCAGGAGGAGGTGTGGCAGAACAGAGCAGGACAGGACAGGACAGGACAGGACAGGACGGGACAGGGGGCATGGGAAAATGGGATTCAGCTTCGTCTCTGTCGACCCTGTGACCGAAATGAGTCCCTCCCTCTGGGTCTGGCTGAGTCGGCTTGTATGCTGCCTCGCCGCTTGGGCTTGCTTCGAGAGAGAGAAAGCTGGTTTCAGTCGCTGAGGTGCTAGAGTCCTGACTCGAATACCAGACAGGATTCGCCAGATCCCAAATGGCTAAAGGTCTTATCTCTGTATGGCGATCAGCATGACGAAGCAAAAGCGTGCGCGAGCAAACACCTGCATAAATATAGGCATGTGTCTATATGTCTGTCCATTATTGCCTACATGGGAACAGAGGGGTGTTGATGGGGTGCATGTGATTGGCTATTCATACCTAATAGTGGTCATCGAAGCCTCCTTGGAGAATTTTCTGTTAAGCCAAAACAGATGCACACCCATCACAAAGATGAGAAAGATCCAATTTATGCATGAATGGCTATCCTTCAACCATGCGTGAGTTGAGAACGGTAACTATGGTTCACATTAGGCACAATTTACTCTTTGATATGAGACGTATTCACCCTGTTTCGTTCAAGGTGATGAATGAGTAGTGGTTGAATCTTCCCACAATGGTATGGGTAGGGCTGACGTTTCCATTGAATTTAGCATAGCTTTGTTTTCCCAAAAGTTGTGCTCATCCAGGATGGACTCCAGTTTCCATCTCGCCTAGGTCTTATCAACACCCCAGCAGGACTCGAACCATGACAGTGCAACGGGTAATCTCGACACGTTAAACAATACGCCACATTACCATGAGTTCCCTTGAGTAACAAGACAGATATGAATTTTAAAAAAGGCCAGGCATTTTCCCATACCACATTCTTTGGTGGGATTGTCGATGAAGCAAAGTTATATTTGCTATGATAATCGACTACATTACTTATTTTTGTATATAAGTAGACTTTCGAGACTAACATAATCTACTGCTACATCTCATATAATTGATTTATTGGTAGTCTCGATACTCTACTTAGAAACTATTCATTCCCTCCTTTACTCTGTATGGAGGTCTATTCTTTTACATGTTCATATCTGATCATGATTGCCTGAACACAACTTTCCCATTAACTCATACTGCTGACTGCTTCCCCTTTGAAAGCTTGTATTCTAGTTATGAGAGATCTTGGTGAGTACTACATTCTAGCACGGCCAAGAGACATTTCTGTATCAACAGGATCTTCGTAGACCCCTTATCTGCCATCCTAAACGGTGTGCTTAACAGGTACCGGAAGCTCAATAAAGAATTTTTTAAAAGCTGCATTTAAACTGCGTTTGAATTTACATTATTAGTCATTTGGCCGGATAGGGACCGGCTAATCCTCTACTCTCAGTTGATAGACGAAAAACGTGAACTTGCTCATAGCAAACTCGTCTGTTTCAGCCTATTCAAGCAGATCCCTCATTAAAAGTAGCTGAACTTGGGAAGCTAACAACCTCAAAATACAACTCATTTTAAAGTTAAAAATATACAAGCAACTCTACTTTACTATACATAAAATAAAGAAAGACATTTCATTTTTTTCATTTTCTCTCTTAAACACAAGAATACTCTCTTAATCACCCTTAAGCGTTGCCCAATAGACGCACTCTCCATCCTTCTTGGACTAAGGCCCCCTGAAAGTATCGGAACAAATTAATTAGCTATGAAAGAGCTTCGAGATAACCA